CATTGTACACTCTACCCTTCAGGGCGAGAGTAATGTCGCGCCGCCGCCATAGGTGGCGAAGGTTAGCAAAAGCACTTCGAGCTTTCGCTATGCAGTTCGTGATCTCGTCTTCGATCCCAAAGGCGCTGATACAACTTCCCAGGTAATTGAATTTCTGAACGACTTCTAGCTGATCCCCACCAAGGGCCAGCACAGGGGGCGAACCCTGCTAATCTTGGAGGAACGCTTTGCACTTCGGTGGTGCAAAGCAAAGCCCGAAGCGGCTGACAGCCAGTGCTAATCTGTCCAGCGCGGCTTGACACGTCTTGGAGCTGTCACAGATGAGGGCAATGTCGTCTGCATACTCTAAGTCAAGAAGTCGTTCTCCTGGGAGTAGCTCCACACCTTCCAAGTCATGTCCTGTAAATGCATTCTCCATGACTTCGTCAATAGCGAAGTTGAAGAGGAAAGGTGACAGCGGGCATCCTTGTCTCACACCGCTGGAGATATTGAAGGGTGGCGACAGCCTGCTGTAAGCCCTTACTCTGCCCGTGCTACGCGCATATAATGCTTGGATAATATTTACATATTTCTCGGGCACACCTTTCCTGAGTAGACAATTCCAAAGGGCACTACGATCAACCGAATCGAAGGCACCTTTGATTTCGAGGAACACGACTACGGTGGGCCGCCAATATGTGTGACGGTGCTCCAACAACTGACGCAAAGTGAAGATGTGGTCGATGCAGCCACGACCCCGACGAAACCCGGCTTGCTCCTCACGAATCTGGCTTTCACGAGCGCCAGTCAGTCTGTGGAGAATTATGGACGCGAGTAATTTGGAGGCGATGGAGATCAGACTGATTCCTCTATGGTTGCCGCATTCCGAACGCGAGCCGCCTTTGAAGATGGGAACAATAACGGAGCGGCTGCAGTCGGTTGGGACAGTTTCCTTCTCCCACAGTTTCACTAGTAATTCATGCAAAGCATCAACAAGAGCAGAGCCTCCAAATTTGAAGAAGGCTGGAGGAAGATCATCTGGTCCCGCGGCTTTGTTCAACTTCAACAGTCCGATCTCACGTTCGACTTCTGAGCGAGAGGGTGGATCCAAAGGGATAGCCCACGGAGCGGGGCGATCAGTGACCGGCGAATCGAACAATTCTTGACGATTAAACTGTTTTTCAAAATGCTCCGCCCAACGCTCCAGACGTTTTGACAAATTGTGGATAGGCTGTCCACTCTCGTCACGTATAGTTTCACTAACATCAGGTCTCCTGCTGCCTGTTTCCCGTATCAGACGGAATAACTTACGATGGTTGCCAACGGCACCGGCCACTTCCATCTCTGACGCACGATGAGACCACCAAGATTCGCGGTCTCTCTTCAGGCTAGCACGGAGTTTTGCCCGGAGCTCTTTGCGAGTTTCATTGTGCTCGCTTCCAGCCGGGATTTGCCGGCAAGCATCTATAAGTTCCAAAGACTGCGAAGAGACCCAATGTCCATGTTGTCTATTACACATACCACATGAGGATTTGCCTGCTGCTAGTAAGGTCTGGTGAACATGTGACCAGTGACCATCAATTGTCTCCTGTGAGCGCTTGCTCAACTCGCATGTTAGCGTACTTATTTACGCATTCAGAACAGCTGGTTTTATCAGTTGGCTGGTGTCAATACGCTCACAGCGTCGTCGTGGGCGTCCGCCAAAACGCATCCGCATGTCAGCACATACAAGTGCATGATCGGTGTCCACACATGTGCTCCAAATCGAGCGACAATTCTGGATGCAGCCTCTCCAGCGGTAACTGATAGCAATGTTATCGATCTGCGTGCAAGGCTGGTTCGAGGTTGGTGGGCGCCAAGTCACCCTTCGCCGGGTGCTGTGTCGGAAATTAGTGCTCGCAAGAAATAAGCGAGCATCTTCACACAAATGAAGTATCCGCTCACCGTTATCATTACGGGAGCCTACACCGTGTTGACCGCCCAGATGCAGTTCATCAGTGGACAACTTTCCAACTTGTGCGTTCATATCCCCCGCCAGCACAACAGTGTCCGTGCTTCTTCTGTGGCGAAGGAGCTGGGTCAGTTGGCGGTAGAAGTCATTCTTTACCGAATCATCGCTACAGTTTGTGGGCGCGTATGCAGCGATGATGAATGGACACCTGTTAGTGACGCGCGACTTCGAAGCTTTGAAGGAGCCAGCCAATCGGACCGCACACATCCGGCTACTGATTGGAATCCAATCAACCAGAGCAGCTTCAGCCCGGGGACTCAGGGCAATACCAACACCGGCTTGGCCGGTGCTTGAAGCTGCATCGTCACCGGATAGGCGCAAGGAGAAAATACTGCTTGCGTCCCCTGAAGGGGATCGCAGAGTGAGCACAGTGCTCGAGTCTTGCAGGCGAGTCTCTGATAAGCAGCAGATATCGATCGAGAGGGTCTCCAATGTTCGGGCAAGTGCTGCCTGTTGACTGATCTGTAGTAATGTGCGTGCATTGAGGCATGCCAATCTGAAGGAGGATCGGGGGCTCCAAATGCAAGCCGATGAACTGGAATGGACCGCTTGAATGGAGGAGAGGAGAGGAGTGACGTTCCGCGTTCACATGAGTTGAAATTAGAAGGTGAATGCCCAGAAAAGCATGTTGGGGGAGGGCCAAGAATCGGGGGATTGAAAACTGGGGGGATAAAAGTGAAGTTGCAACGGGACGGTAAGAGTGAGAAAGCGTAAGAGGGGGAATAAGAAGACGGGAAGGCTTGAGCAGTAGCACCCAAACCCCTATCCACCCTGCCTAGTGCAGCAGATAGGGCACCGTTGATTATCCTCTGCGGTGGCCAGAGCATCAAGAAATTGTTTGAAGGAAAATTCATAGTATTGTGTGGGCAGGATACTGTCAGGTTGCCCAGGCCTACTAACTAAACCGATTGCTTCAGCGGTGTCCACGGCAACGTGCTATTTTTGTGGATATACTAAATACCCCCGCTTAAAGTGTTCCGCGAGAGATGCCATTTGCAAGGCTTGTGGTAAAACGTGGCATTTCGAACGTGTGTGTAAATCCAAATCCGATACTTCATCCACCACTTTAGCATTACATCCACTTGGTCTTCTGTTCTGACAGCTGCAGCTAAAGCTGTTTGTCTCGTACAACAACCGAAATTTTCGTAAACAATACCGAACTGCATACCTTAATTGATACTGACAGTTCTGATACCTGTGTCTCAATCCGTCGTCTACTCCCACTACTGGAAAAACTATCTTTGTGATACCAAAAGCAATATGGCTTCCATCTCTCTGTCGTGTGCCGTTACTGGATACTGTGTTCGAAATCATTACCAAAACATTGTATACAATGACGTTCGGCTTTCCGCTCCGGGTAATCTATGCTCCGATGTGTTGCTCGGTCATGACTTTCTTTCTTTGTATTACAAAGTGGAAATAACAATCGGATGATGATAAACATTTTATAAAAGCTGAAATACAGCAACTGTTTAACGAAGGCATCACTGAATCATCAAGCTCTCTCTGGAGAACCCAGGTACCGGTTACCAAAAATGCCAATACAAAAGGTTGGCGGTCAATTACAGTCAGAAGATTAACCGTTGCATATAGATAGACACTTATCCGTTAACAAGACTTGACAAACTGATAGAAAAGATTCCTCATTGTGCCGTATACAGTGCATTGGGTCTGAAAAATGCCTACTATCAGATCCCATTTCTGAGCACTAGAAGCCGTACACCGCATTCGAAGCATTTGGAAACCATTGTCGTCACTAATGGTGTGGCTTGTTTCCAGTGTACTAGCGACAGGATACCGAAAACGGAAATTCTCCGTGATACATTTGCTTATATAGATAATGTTGCTGTGTGGTGTAACCACGGACGATCATAAGCAAAACCGCCAGCTCTTGGCTAAATACGGCATAACTTTTAACGATGTTAAAACCGCCACTGTCTGTGAGGAAATTTCTCTCGATTACCATATGTCTAAGGCCAAAATCAGGCCCGATCCAGAAGGCTTGAAACCTCTGCTTCAACTCACATCTCCAAATGATCTGAAATCTCAACGGCGCGTTGTTTGCATGTTCGCTTACTACTCACAATTACTCCCTTCTTTCTCATACATAATCAGTCCTCTCGTAAAGAACCGGGCCTTCCCCGTTCCACCGCATGTATAAAATGCATACAACAGACGCATCCGACATGGCTATAGCTGCCTCGCTTAGTCAGAACAATCGCCCAGTCGTCTTTTTCTTATGTGCCTTACTCCCAGTGAGAAGCATCATTCAGCTGTCGAAAAAGAGGCGTACGCTAGTGTGGAAGATGTCAGAAAGGGGTGACACCATCTACTTGGCACACATTTCAAACTGATAAACGATCCGTAGCCTCCTTGTACGGTGATGGCCAAACAAGAAAAATTATGAAAGACAAAATCCAAAGGTGGCAACCGAAACAGTTTGCATACCAATACAAAATAAGGCACAGATCTGGCAAAGCTACTCAGGTTGCAGAGGAATTTTCTCGCATCACATGTACCTCGAATTTTAACGGCACGAAACTTCAAGACTTCCACAACTATTCTAAACCAGCAACAAAGACATCCACACCACTTACGAAATAGGGAAGTTAATTCTACGGACTTTCCTCTTGTAAATTACCATGTCAATAATGTCTTCCATCTTCCGACTGGGGTGAATGACGCATGCATTCACTTGCCCCATTTTACATGGCACATCACAATCAACTCTTTTACCTTTTAATCGATGCATCTTCATTATTAGACCAGTACAGCGCATAATTCCTACTGTGTCATTCCGCCTGTTGTGCTACCTTCGTCCAATGCAGCAGTTGGACTGTGCGGTTGCCCACAGAACTGAACCTCCTGTAGTCTAGACAGTTGAATAGTGGAAACTCTTTAACAGTACACTCCTGGTTGTTTCTGGCCTTATCTTCATTCAGTTAGTAATGTCTTCTATCGTCACAATGATGTGATGAACGAGTAAACAAGAGCATTGGGTCCAACTTACCAGGTTAGAAAGTAGAGTATCTTCAAGCTTATTGAATGAGCAGGTAGAAGTCATTGAACAAGCTAAAACAAAATAGGACGGCATTTACGAGCATTGGCATACGTACCTAAGGAAGGTAAGGAAGATCATCAATTTTAATGGCTGCCGAGTAAAGAAAACATGGAAACACTGGGTCCCTTGTACCCACTTTTTCGACGCGGACAGAGTAAAAAGATTGTGATATAGTAACATCTTGACTGCTATCCTCAGTCGCATACGCAATACATTTGAGAAATGTAGTAAGTAGTAAGTTGGGCGATCAAGACCAAGACAAGCTGGTAGGCTGCTTCAGTTACTTTTGCACGTCGCATACCAGCCAGTTTGTCTTAATTAGTAATGCTCCACAGATTACCAGCATTTTCGAGTTGCGGTTAATGAACGGCACTTTGAAAGTTTACGATGGATACACGTGACGTCCTGACATCAAAAGCTGCTTTGTCATAGACGAGGTTGCGTTCTGGCTCCCCATTTGATTCATACGTCTGTGTCGGCCGGTAGCCGAGTGGTCTGCGCGGCTGGTTTGCAACCATAAGGTCCCCGGTTCGAATCCGCGTAGACGTGGGCGCCCTAGTGGTATACGTAGCCCGCGCGCGACGGATGATTACGCGGTAGCGAAGCGCCGTAACGGCGCACAGCTGACATATATTTGGTACCATAGAATGATACAACCACTCTAGGAAGTCCTCAGCCACCCTCTGATCTAATCGTCGGTCGGTCCTGCTTACAAAGATGTCACCGAGGCTGCATTTGAACTGGTAAATACCATGGGAGCCCAAAGCGATTGACGAGGTGTTCGGACGGTAGTTAAACTAAAGTTGTGGTATGGTGCGCATGATTTGTAGACGGGCGGTGGTATAGGTGCGCATCGTAACAGACATAATTTTGTGGCCGATTTCATTTGAAACGTGGTCTCCTAGGAGCGGTATCCGCTCCTACCGAGGAATGTCAAGCAGATTAGCAAACAGGTGAATTTTGAGTGACTGTATATTCAACTAGGCGAATTGTTACCGAGATTATCCGATGATGCTGGGTGGTCACGGAAAAAGAATGGTGGACATCGCGAAGCAATTTTAAACACGCTAATAAGCCACAGGTGTTGCTTGGAAGCTGAGCATTATAAGGCGATCGAAGAGATGCAAGAGTTGAGACATGCGGTTTTTCTACAACCGGGTAAAGGATCACGGACAAAGTAGATTATCTCTCCAAGAAAACACAACTATCAGGAAAACCAAATGCAACAAAAGTCTACAGTAGTAAAACTTCTGTGGAATGGTTGACAATCTGCTAGGAATCTAGTGGGAGTGAAGGTGAGATATAGGCAAAGGATTCGGTGACAGTGCTAAGCGATGTGATCGATCTGCGTGCATGACCGGTCTGCAGCTGGTAGCTGCCATGTCACTATTCGGTGGGCGCTTTGTCGGAAGTTAGTGTTCGCAAGAAATAGACGAACATCTTCACACCGGTGTAGCACCTGCTGACCGTTATCAATGCGATAGTTTACATCATCTTGGCGGCCCAGGTAAAGCTCATCAATGGATAAGATTCCAATTTGGGCGTTCACGTCATTATCATAGCGGAATCGTTCGGTCGCTATAATGTCAGGTTCGTCCCGCCCCAAGGACAAGTCGTGAAAGGATGAAGATAAGGGCGAGGTATACGTTTATTGTCGAAATGTAAAACCCCGCTAACTGAAGGCACCGCAAAAATGGTGCTACCCAGAGGAAAGGCCTAATCACCAGCCGATACGCAGCAACGCTCTTCGTGGCGGAAAAACTGAAAGCGCACGAATGCGATTCGTCTGTGTGACTCACGCCTGGAACAGTCTGCCAGAACACGTTGTCGAGGCCGAATCTGTGCAGAAATTCAAATCTTTCTTGTATTTACACTTCGCTAACATACGTTTCAGAGAACGGTTGCCACTTGACCGCGATATCACCCACTTGTACCTCACTGTGTGAACAAGCATTCTGTGTGCTACAAAAGGAGTTGCTGAACCATCTCAGGATAACCACCGGACGTGTTTATTTATTTTTTTAATGTTTTTGATTATCACCCGATGGAGTTGTACAGAATTATTTCCTTCTTGCTCCAAAATACAGTATTCAGTATTCAAAAACACGTAGTCATCGTGCGAACACGCAGGCTTCCTAAGTTGTCTATGTAAAGAATGATATGATATTTTAAGAATATTTTTCAAAGACAAACAGGACAATCTTTAGGTCACTTCCTTATCAAAAACCATAGGATCCGTAGTTTTCCTGTAACGTAGAGGCTCCAACCGAGGCCAACTTTGAAGTAAGGGCCTCTTGACAAAGTCATTGTTTGTCCACCTTTCCTCTTCTTCTATCCACACCCTCGGCGCGCAAACAACGCACGTCACGGGAGTAGGGGGGCTGGCATACGCAACACGTAGCCCAGCCATCGGAGCCTGGTGCATAAAATAACGGTGCTGAGCAGTTCACTTCTTCTTCCTGCGCATAAACAAAGCGTCGAACGTGCCCATTGCTCACACGGTATTCCCACCAAATATGAGCCAAACTACGAAGGCACCGGTGGTCGAAGTTAACTAGCCTTTTTATGTCGGTTGATCTAATGGGCCAGGTTTCATAACTGCACAGTAGGGTCGAATGTACGGCTGCATTGTACATTTTTCCCTTCAGGGAGAGTGTGATATCGTGCCGGCGTCATAGGTGGCGACTGTTAGCAAAAGCGCCCCGGGCTTTTGCTATACGATTTGTGACCTCGTCTTCCATTCCGACGAAGCTGACACAACCACTTAGGTAACTGAACTTATGAACGACTTCCAGCTGATCCCCACCAAGAGTCAGCGCAGGATGCGATCCCTGCCAATCTTGGAGGAACGCTTTGCACTTCGGTGGTGCAAAGCAAAGCCCGAAGCGGCTGACAGCCAGTGCTAATCTGTCCAGCGCGGCTTGGCACGTCTTGGAGCTGTCACATATGAGGGCAATGTCGTCTGCATACTCCAAGTTGAGAAGTCGTTCTCCTGGGAGTAGCTTCACACCTTCCAAGTCATGTCCTGTAAATGCAATCTCCATGACTTCGTCAATAGCGAAGTTGAAGAGGAAAGGTGACAGCGGGCATCCTTGCCTCACACCGCTGGAGATATTGAAGGGCGACGACAACTTGCCGTAAGCCCTCACTCTGCCCGTGCTACGCGCGTATAATGCTCGGATAATATTTACATGTTTCTCGGGTATACTTTCCTGAGTAGACAATTCCAAAGGGCACTACGATCAACCGAATCGAAAGCACCTTTCATGTCGAGGAACACGACAACAGTGGGTCACTACTGTGTCAAGGTGCTCCAACAACTGACGCAAGGTGAAGATGTGGTCGATGCTGCCACGACCACGACGAAACACGGCTTCCTCCTCACGAATCTGGCTTTCACGAGCGCTAGTCAATCTGTGAAGGATTATGGAGGCGAGCAATTTGGAGGCGATGGAGATCAGACTGATTCCTCTATGGTTACCGCATTCCGATCGTGAGCCTCTTTTAAAGATGGGAACAATAACGGAGCGGCTGCAGTCGGTTGGGACAGTTTCCTGCTCCCACAGTTTTACTAGTAATTCATGTAAAGCCTCAACAAAAGCAGAGCCACCGAATTTGAAGAGGGCTGGAGGAAGAGCATCTGGTCCCGCGGCTTTGTTCAACTTCAACAGTCCGATCTCACGCTCGACTTCTGAACGAGAGGGTGGATCCAAAGGGACAGTCCATGGAGCAGGGCGATCACTGGCCGGCGAAAAATCGAACAATTCTTGCCGATTAAATTGTTTTTCAAAATGCTCCGCCCAACACTCCGAACGTTTTGACAAATTAAGGATAGGCTGTCAACTCTCGTCACGTATAGTTTCACTAACATCAGGTCTCCTGCTGCCTGTTTCCCGGATCAGACGGAATAACATACGATGGTTGCCAAGGACAGCGGCCACTTCCATCTCTGACGCACGATGAGACCACCAAGATTCGCGGTCCCTCTTCAGACTAGCACGAAGTCTTGCCCGGAGCTCTTTGCGAGTTCCATTGTGTTCGCTTCCAGCTGGGATATGCCGGCGAGCATCGATAAGTTCCAGAGACTGAGAAGAGATCCAACAACCATGTTGGCTAGTAGACATACCACATGAGGATTTGCCTGTTGCTATGAAAGTCTGGTGAACATGTGACCAGTGACCATCAATTGTCCCCAGTGAGCGCTTTTACTCAACTCGCTTGTTGTCGTACGCATTCAGAACAGCTGACTTTGTCAGTTGGTTGGTGTCAATGCGCTCACAGCGTCGTCGTGGGCGTCCGCCAAAACGCATCAGCACGTCAGCATATACAAGGGCATGATTGGTGTACACACATGTGTTCCAAATCGAGCGACAATTCTCGATGCAGCCTCTCCAGCGGTAACTGATAGCAATGTTATCGATCTGCGTGCAAGGATGGTTCGAGGCTGGTGGGCGCCAAGTCACCCTCCGGCGGGTGCTGTGTCGGAAATTAGTGCTCGCAAGAAATAAGTGAGGATTTTCACACAGATGAAGTAACCGCTCACCGTTATCATTACGGGAGCATACACCGTGCTGACCGCCCAAATGCATTTCATCAGTGGACAGCTTTCCAACTTGCGCGTTCAAATCCCCAGCCAACACAACAACGTCCGTGCTTCTTCTGTGGCGAAGGAGCTGTCAGTTGGCGGTAGAAGTAGTTCTTTACCGAATCATCGCTACAGTTTGTGGGCGCGTAGGCAGCGATGATGTATAGACACCTATTAGTCCCGCGCGACTTCGAAGTATGGAACGAGCCAGCCAATCGGACCGCACATATCATCATCATCATCATTATACACATAAGCTAGAGGTGGGAAAACACCAAACAACCAGAGTAGCTTCAGCCCGGGGACTCAGGGCAATACCAATATTGACTTGGCCGGTGCTCGAAGCTGCATCGTCACCGGATAGGCGCAACGAGAAAATACTGCTAGTGTCACCTGAAGGGGATCGCAGAGTGATCACAGAGCTCCAGTCTTGCAGGCGGGTCTCCGATAAGCAGCAGATATCGATCGAGAGGGTCTCCAATGTTCGGGCAAGTGCTGCCTGTTGACCGATCTGTAGTAATGTGCGTGCATTGAGGCATGCCAATCTAAAGGAGGATCGGGGGCTCCAAATGCAAGCCGATGAACTGGTATGGACCGCTTGAATGGAGGAGAGGAGAGGAGTGACGTTCCGCGTTCACATGAGTTGAAATTAGAAGGTGAATGCCCAGCAAAGCATGTTGGGGGAGGGCCAAGAATCAGGGGATTGAAAACTGGGGGGATAAAAGTGAAATTGGAACGGGACTGTAAGGGTGAAAAAGCGCAAGAGGGGGAATAAGAAGACGGGAAGGCTTGAGCAGTAGCACCCAAACCCCTATCCACCCTTCTCGATGCAGCAGATAGGGCACCGTTGATTATCCTCTGCGGTGGCCAGAGCATCAAGAAATTGTTTGAGAAAAGATCCATTGTATTGCATGGGCAGGATACTGTCAGGTTGCCCTGGCCTAGACAGGAGAACGATTAGGGTTCTCAACCAAAGCCTTTGGTTCAAAAACCTGATCGCAAGGCAGCAGGTTTCGCGTTGGGCTACAAAGAGCCCGGTTTAAGGAATAAGGTGCCACCCTCATTCCAACCCCCAATCTGGAGGACCAGGAGGCTGAGTTTGTCTGGCCTCTAACCATTGACCAATCTGATATGAGTGGCTCAGAAGGTGCAAAAAAGCACCACCCAGCATAGCTCAATGGATCACTGAGGAACACAAACCATCGCACTACGGTAAGGTCCAGCCTCATTGCATATGTAGTCAAAATAAATAGTTCATGAGAGAAAGACCAAGTGAAGGTTCCTGACGATAGCAACTACTAGATGAGCAAAACCTCGCTTGTTGGCTGAACAAGTAGTGTGCTTACTGGAAGCTTCAAGGAAGGTGATTCTGAATGGTCCAGTTCAAGGTAAAACGATACCATTGGCTTACTCTCATTGGCTAGCCAATCGGCGACAGGCGGCATACTACCAACCTTCTCCGAGCTGCTCCAGACACAGAGAGAGAGAGACAGAGAGCTAGCTTCGATGGCTGCTATGGACGGGCCCCGGTAACACCTTCCTCGCGAAGTGTCGTACGATTTCCTCCTGGGGTCCAGCTGCATTCTGACTACGGACCTCCGTATCTGATCAGTCCATCGTCGTGGCTGCAACCTCGTTCCTTTCGTGGTCACAGGGCAAGGCTCATTAGGTGGCTCCTGAGTTCCAGGGTGCATATCGAGTGTCCAGCAGAATATCTAGTGGCAACGATCGTTTGCTGTTAGCTACCTAAATGCTGGTAGGCCGCAGCTGGTTTGCATGTCTGGTCCAAATCACAGAGCCTACTCGAACTTTATATAGCACTTGTCCAAGTCTGCAGTCGATCGAGCCTGTGGTCCAGTGTGGTTTTACAGGACTATAGTCTTTGACTAAAACACTATGTCCTGGGTGACATAGACGTACTTGCGTTCTGTGTCGATGACTGAAGTAATTTTCCATTCTAACGTTCCTCTCTTGCGGAGCGATACACTTTGGAAGCAGCGAGGAATTCAGAGTATGGAGTTTCCTGCCCATAAGCGCTTCTGCTTGGGACAGCTGATTTGGTACCTGGGGGTTCGGAGTTGATCTGTAAAGTAGAAGGTAAACATCCAATATCTCTTGCGTTGTTCCTTCTCCCCTCATCTTCAGCAACCACAACAAAGCGCTCAGCTTGCTCATTAGACTGCGGATGGAACGGCGGCGAGCATAGGTGTGATACCGTTTTACCCATAGTATTCGGTGAACTGCAAAGATGCAAACTGAGGGCCATCGTCAGTAACCAAAGTCCTTGGTATTTCATGTTGGGCGAAAAGTCTTCGCAGCACGCTAATGGTTGCGCCACATGTTGTGCGTTCCATGTAGAACACTTCCGGAATCAACAGTGATGAGATACTCTTGTCCATCCACGGGACCAAAGAAACCCGCATGTACTCGCTGTCACGGTTTCGTTGACAACGGCCAAGAAAACAATTCCGCCTTCATCGACTCCTTGCTTACAAGCGGACACGATTTTGCTTGCTTTTCCAGCTCCAAGTCGATATTCGGCCAGTAAATGTGACTCCGCGTAATCACTTTCATTTTGTTAACGCCAGGGTGTCCACGATAAAACTGTCGTAGAATTTATAGCGCGATGATCGCGCGCTATATATTTGGGACGAGACGACGGCCAACCAAAAGCAATGGGTAGAACACACAAAAGCAAGCAAGGGAAAATGTTTATTGGACGGGAGGAGAGTTAGCTAAAGCTAAAAAATTAGATACCAGAAGAGAGTTAGCTAGGAAGGATGTGGTTGGCGTCGAGAGGTTAGGCTGAGCCGGAGTGGCTGATTTTTGACATGAAAAAATTGGCTTGGAGGGACTTTGTGTTCCGGTACACCAAACACCAGATTTGAAGGAGATGTGTATAGGTCGCTTTGTTCTTAAGTACGTACGAAAAATGGCAGTTAGTAAGGTGTGTTAGTTATAAATTTAGCTTTTATTCATCGCGATTTCAAAAAATACGAAAAATACAAATCAGACAAGAGATATGCATACCCCTTATCCAAGCAAGTAACTTACTGCAAGCATATACTTTACATATATGCAACAATTTTATTAACACTTATTTGCTCCATAAGACAGCCGTTTACAATACACTTTTATTTAGCATTTGCTTGCTTTCCATTATGCCGTGAACTTCAACTATGCCTGTAGTCATCACTTTATTTTTCATAACCGTTTTCAAAAGGCAAATCCATATAGCATTATTTTCTGGTTCCCCGCACTTTAATACCACCAAAATTATGAACATACTGTGCAGCCAGTCAAACAAACTTGGATGTTACCGAGGACAACGGTAGCGAAACCCTTTCCCGCCATGACAAAAATTAGCCCTTCCTAGGTAGAGCTTCGATCGCAATCGAATCGCGCGCCAAAAACGGAGATGGTGTTCGTGTTTCCAACAAACGAGAACAACATGCCAACATGCTTACGGCTTATTTCCCTAATACATAAGAAAGCTATAATTTGAATATATTTTAGGATAGTTCACACAGTCGTACAGGGGAATCTTCAGGTAACAACAAATATTTTGGCGAAGCTCACTAGGGATAACAACCCTATCCGCCAAAAGTAAACATCCGCTGACCATGGATACTGCGTCTATTCTCCGGGACTGGCTCTGCAATTCCCCATTTAGATTGGCTTTTGGCCACTAAGTAGTATGAAAACTGACCGCTAGTTGTAGGACAGAATGCCACACTGATGCATCACGTATCATTTCAAAAGTTACCGGAAGTTCCCTAAGCGTTTCCAACAACACCTGATCCATTTCCGACTCCAGAGAGATCGCTGCAATGACAGATGCTTTTTGCTGGCGCTGCTGGCTTTCCAATAACCGGGAAAGTTCATCAGCTTGACTATTGTGTTTTGTGCAAATGTGCTTCACCGTAAAGCCGTAGCCGAGTAATGCAGTAGCCCACCACTGCAACCTGTTTGCCGTATAGACAGGGATGCCTAACTTTGATCCAAAAGTGACAACAGCGGCTTATGGTCAGTAAGAATTGTAAACTTCTGTCCATACAGCATGTTGTGAAATTTCTTTACAGCGTAGGCTATCGCCAAGGCTACTTTCTCTATCTGACCATAATTTCCCTCTGCGGCAGACAGCGACGGAGCTGCCTGTGTGATTGCCTTTTCTGAACCATCCGCGAACTTGTGGGCTATGACTGCGCCAAAACCATATTTCGAGGTCTCTGCGACCACCATTATCTCCAAAGTTGGATTGTAATGTGTTAGCGGGTCAGAACATAGCAGCCTATTTGCCCCGTCAAATTAGCTCTGGCATTGCGCGGACGCGTTCCAGTGTTTATCCTTGGTCAGCGGATCATTGAGTGGACCTCGCAAGCGATGCATATGCGGTAAGAACGGGTTGTAATGGCTTATGAGCCCTGGGAAGGACCTTATCGTTGCAACCTCTTTGGGCGGCGGCATCTTCTTGATTGCCTCGATGTTCGCTGGGTCTGGACGCCTGCCGTTACTGTTGATTATAAAGCCGAGGAACGTAATCGAGTGCATGAAGAAAATACACTTTTCAGGTCGGAAGCTGAATCCATATATTTCAACACGGCCAAGAACTCGATCCAACTTTTCGAATATTTCATCAACACTGACTCCGACAACAATGATGCCGTCCATGTATGCGGCTGCTCCATCAACATCGGTCAGCATTGTGTCCAGGATCTGCTGGAATATGGCTGATGCAGAATTGGCTCCATACGGTAGACGGTGATACTGGTATAATCCTCGATGCGTATTGATGGTGTAAATCTCTTGAAGCTTCATATACTTCGATCTGCAGGTATGCATTTGAGTGATCCAGCTTTGCGAAACATTTACCACAAATCAATTTTGCGAACAGATCATCTGAAAGCGGTAAATGGTACTGCTGGGCGTTCAGTGTAGCATTCAGACCCGCCAAGAAATCGGCGCATATACTAATCTGACCGTTTTGCTTGTTGACCACCACAATCGGTGCCGCCCCAGAGGAGTAGTTCACCGGTTGGATAATCCCTGCTCTCTATAAGAATTCCAGCTCCTAGTCAAGCATTGATGCTGCTGCCTAAGGTACAGGGCGTCCCGTACGAAATACTGGAACAGCATCGGTATTAAGGGATAGTGGAGCTTGAGCATCAGGGAAAGTACTGAGGCCTTCACGAAAATTGCTGCATATTTCTCCCCTAGACACTAGATAACTACAGCTTTAAGAGCTGTTGGCTTGTGTATTTAGACCCTTGCACAAATCTGATTGAGCGGAACATCAAGTGGGTTTGGCTATAGAATTGAAGACTGGTGGCTCAGGTTGTTCAGATGGATCTTGAACAGTTCGCTGAGCTTGGCAAGTTGGTTGCAAACGTTTCGTCACCAATGGAGATGACTTCATCAATGGGTAGTTGAGAAGCGTGATAGCGTAGAGTAGCGTAGTGCAGCCTCGGTGAGAGTGCGCTAAGCGTGGTGTGCGTGCGTTTTTATGCCGTCGTGGTTGGCCGTTTAGCCGAGCAATCCTATTGTTTGGGACTACGATCCGCGTTCCGCTTGCTTAATGGGCAGATGAACATTCACCTCGCCTCCTTTGTCTGCTTGCTTTTGCGAGCGAGTCTGCCGTCATGGAAACATAGTGTTGCTCATCCCAACACTGGCACTCCAAGACCGCGGTTTCCTCCCGGTTGGGACTCATCAGTTTTAGATAGCCTGAGTTGGGCTGGAACTCAGAGCTTGTGACCCATGGTTGGCGCCATAAGAACTATGCCACTGAGATCCGCGAGCAACGCTTGGTACAGCGGAAACGAATGCAAAGTTGGACTTGGAGTATACGCTGGTGGTTGGGTTGCTACAAGCAACCTCTATTGAGACCTAGGTTCACTTAAGGTGGACCTCGGTCATTCCGATCAAAAAGACCGTAAGTATAATGGACACATTATAGCGTTGCTCATCCCAACACTGGCACCCAAAGACCGCGGTTTCGGTCTGTCTTTTGATCGGAAACACCGAGGTCTACCTCAAGTGAACCGAGGTCTCAATAGAGATTGCTTGTAGCAACCAAACCAAGAGCGGATATTCCAAGTCCAATTTTGAGTCAGCCGTCAGTTCTTCTGGTCTACCCACAAGTTCCACCGGATTCAATCGATCGAGTTAGCGGTCGCTCATCAGTAGTGTGGCGTTTACTGCGTCCAGGTCGATGTGTCGATTGATTTCATGCGTTGTATAGTACCAGGCTTCTAAAAACTGCCTCTCGTGTATTGTGCTTCCATGTGCTAGGATCTTTACATTCTCCAGATCGAACTGGTTGTCTTCTTGATCTTCATGCGCAGAAACCAATGAGTGTGGATCATATCTTCTAACGGCCGCGTTGTGTTCCATGATTCGTGTACAAAGTTTACTTTCAGTTTGCCCGACGTAGATTTTACCGCAGTCACTGCATTTTAGTTGGTAGATGACATTGCATTGGTCGGCTTGATTGACTTTTCCTTTGGGCCTTGAGATCAAGTTCCTTAGGGTGGCACTTGGCTTTTGAGCCGCAGAGATTCCATGTCATTGCAACAATCTTCCTGTTAGTTCGGAGACGTTCTTGATGTAGGGCAGCACTATCCGTTTGTTTGATTGATCAGATGAGTGCTGCTGCTGTTGCTGAGGCATTCGTTTCTTGAAGCTTCTTCTGATGCAACTTCTCGGATAACCGTTGTTTTTAAACACTCGATATAGGTGATGTTCTTCCTGTTCCCGCGATTCGGCTGTGCTGCAGTGCGTTTCCGCTCTTTGGAACAAGGCTTGAATGCAGGTCTTTTTGTTATTCATCGGGTGATTGCTGTGGGAGTTTAATATCTGCTCCGTATTGGTTTTCTTCCGATATACGCACGTTTCCATCGATCCGCCTGTATTCCTAGTGACCAGTATATCCAAAAATGGTAGCTTGTTATCCTCCTCTAATTCAATCGTAAATTTGATATCCTCGAATGTGCTGTTGAGCAAATCGTGAGTGGCCTGCACTCTGTTCCGTTTTACGATGACAAACGTGTAGTCCACGCACCGTATCCAGAGTTTTGGGCTGATATATGCCAGTGCAATGCGCTCCAATTCCTACATTACGGCTTCTGCAATGAGCCCCGAAATTGGTGATCCCATGGGTGTTCCTCTCAGTTGCTGGGATACTTGTCCATCAAAACGGAAATAAGTGGCCATGCAGAAGTTCAGGAGTTCCCAAAATCTTCCAGGTCGTATGGTAGTTGTGGGGCTTAGTTGATTCTCAATAGTTCCAGCATGGTTTCTTTGGCCAATTCATGACTGATTCCAAGTGAAGAGTGCGGTGACATCGAATGAAAGCATTATTTCGTCGTCTTCTATTCTGACACTGCGAAGTTTGTTGAGGAGTTGTTCAGCGTTGTTGATGCTATGTTCAGATCTGACAACCGAATGTTTCAACTGCCTCCACAAATCCTTCCCTAGTTTATGTGCTGGGGTTCTGGGGAGCGAGACGATTGGTCGTAGTGGGACTCCATCCTTTTGTACTTTTGGTAGTCCATAGAACAGTGCAATGTTTGTATCCTCAGCTTTCATTCGCCATCACTCCGTGGCTGTGAGCTCGTACTTTGTTTGTAGTTTCTTCAGCTTTGCGTTAATTTGATTGACCAGTTTTGAACTTGGATGTTCATCGATCTGGCGATATATAGTTGCGTCTGGTAGCAGCCATTTGGCCTTGTTAATAAACTCCGGTTTGTCCATTAACGCTGTCATGCGCCCATTATCCACTGGATGGACTACTATGCTCTAGCTTTTCTGTAACCGTCTGAGTTCATCCTGTTCCACTCTGGCTAGGGTCTGGTAACTTTATTCCGAGAAAACACTGCGACAACGGTCTGTCGGATCTGTTGCTGGGACTCCTCCGACAGTCCATTTGACTTCAATACGTGTTCTAAGCTAGCCAAGTAATCTTTGGGGCAAGCATCTCTGACGTTGAAGTTAAGCCCTTAATCAAGACATCCGCTTCAGTTGCAGTAAAGTGCCAGCCTGAAAGGTTTTTGATCCATCCTTCACTGCTAGCGCAGTCGTTTCTCTTGGTTAGTTTCTCTAACGCCATCATATATACTAGCGAAGGATTTGTGGAGGCAGTTGAGACATTTGCTTGTCGGATCCGAACATAGCATCAACAACGCTGAACAACTCTTCAACAAACTTCGCAGTGTCAGAATAGAAGACGACGAAATAATGCTTTCATTCGATGTCACCGCACTCTTCACTTGGAATCAGTCATGAATTGGCCAAAGAAACCATGCTGGAACTATTGAGAATCAACTAAGCCCCACAACTACCATACGACCTGGAAG